GCTGAGCATCTCACCCTTGAATCCCCCAGGCATCTCAGGGATCCTCCTCCAGCTCACTCCCCCACCCTACCCCCACTCCCCCACAGGACAATTTTCCTCCACATTCGACGTACTCCATATTTTTTTGAAATTAGAATAACCTTTTCTTGACCCTCATTTCCTTTCAGTAATCATTTTTTCTCTTTTTCCTTTAACAAACTGATTGAAAAAGCTGTCTACACTGGCTGCCTGCAATTCTTCACCTGTACTGATCTGGCCCCATGGTGTTCTGGCTTCTATCCCTACCCAGCCCTGAACTGGTTCTTTTCACTGACCAATGACCTCCTTCTTGCTAAAGCCCATGTGTACTTCTCCAGCCCCATTTAATTGTACCTTTCAGCAGCATCTGGAGCCATTGGCTCCCTTCCTCTTGCTTAGAGCACTCTCTTCTTTTAAGTTCTGGGCCATCAGATTTCCTGGTTTCCCTCTTGCCCTTCTGGACACTCCTCTGTCTCCTTTCCAGACTCATTTCCTCTGGGAGTCCCCTAAATGCTCTTGCTCCCCAGGGCTCTGTCCTAGGCCTCTTCTCACTACACAGGCTCCTAGGGCCTCGTCCACCCTCCCCCAGCTACTCTTTCCCACTCAGACCTCTTCGGTGGAAGTGGGGGAAGACACATCCAGCTGTGCTCTGGACACGTCTTCCTCATGTGCTGCAGCCCTTCAAGATCAAAACAGGTCTAGAGGTGGACTGCTGATATACCCCCATGTCGCCTCCCCAGACCTGCTGCCTGGCCTGAGTTCCAGGCAGTGAAGGGCACCACCACTTACCCAACTCCTCTCTCTCTCTCTTAGCCCCACACCCAGTCACCATCAAGTCCAAAAATCTAAGTACTAAATAACAGTGAAATCACCCTCACCTCAGGCTCCACTGCCAAAATCCACATCCAGGTGGTCACCATCTCTTGCCTCAACTAATGCAAACAAATCCTGATTGGTCTCCTTTAACTCTCTCCTGCTTAAAGCTCTGCACGGTTCCTGCTGCCCTCAGGTCAAATCCATGGTCTGTGTTAACCCCTCTGCGCAAGTGGGGCTCCTCTCTTCCCTTACCGTTGTAGCCATCCCGATTGAGATCGCCCAGAGGCGCGATGGCAGAGCCAAATCGCCCATAGAGCTGTGTGCCGGTCAGCAGGAGGCTAGGGGTGCCCAGCGTGTGGGAGCCCCGAGGCTGCAGGAACAAGTACACGCGCCCCACCTCGGCCAGCTTTCGGTCAGCGCGGCTTTCCATGTACAGTGGCGCGCCCACCAGCAGGTCGTGCCTCCTGCAGGCCAGAAGGGCAGTTAGGTAGGGTGAGCTAGGGGGATGTTGGCGGCCATGGCCACATCTCACCCATTCTCGCCCTCCCTCTCCCCTCTATGGTCACAGGGAGTGAGGGCTAGGAAAGGAGGAGACTGAGGGCAGCCCACGCCTCTGGTAATTGGGGACCCAACTAAGTAGGGGTGGGGCGCCCCCTTCCTCACCCGTCCCCGTTGACGTCAGTGACAGCCACTGAGTGCCCGAAATACGAAGCCACCTGCAGGAAGACAAGGTGCACATTAATTCCCGACCCCGGACCTGCCACCCTCGCTTAGACATTGCCCCACTACACCCCGCGTAACGTTCTAGTGTCCTACTCCCCCAGCCTCGGTCACCCCCATAGGGAACCAGCCCTCACCTGCTCTCCGTGCAGCCGGTGCAGCGTATAGTAGTTCGAGTGCAAAACTTCCACCTGGGCGGACAACGCACAGGAAGAGCATCATTCTCATCCCCCAAGACAGCCTTCCGCTCCGAGTGAGAAAGGGCAGGAGGTTTGGGGGGGGGGGCAGGCTGAGGAGTGGGATCTGGGGCTTCGGGACGCCCAGTGGCGGGGCAGGGGGCACTCACCGCTCCCAGGGTCCAGCTCCAGGTGGGGGCCCCGAAGACATACTCTGGGGAGAGCCCGGCCCAGCGAATAAGGTCCTTCGAACCTACTTGTCTTCCCGGCCGCCATTCCGCACCCAGGGGAGATTTCGGTGCGGGGCTTGGAGGTGCTCCTCCCCAGGCTGGGCTCCCCAACCCCCGCCCCTAAGTGGATCTCTTGCCTGTAGTGTTGGGATTCCCGTCGAATTCGCCCACGGCCACCGAGTACCCTGAAGACACAGCACGAATTAGTCGTTCTGTGAGGGCGAAGCAGGGAGCGGGCCGAGGGCGAGGAAGGAGGGGACTCGGACACCACCCAGTTTTAAACCCTGCGTTATGTAGACGGCAAAACAGAGGCCATCGAGAGCCCAAGACCTGCCCAAGACCGCACAGCGAATCCAGGGGGGAAAGGGCGAGGCAGGGGTGAGTTGGACGGTCTGTGGGGGAAGGCTGCGGGAGCAGAGTGTGGAGGCGCCTTGGGCTCTAGGACTGGCCAGCCCGGGTTGGCGTGGGGTCCCGCAGGACCTGACTGGCAAGAGAGGGCAGTGACACTTAAAGATTGCTGTGAAGCCTAGAAGGGAGGTGCCAAGGTTACCCCGGTAGCCATCGAAGTACTCTGGGTGGCTGGAGTCGAAGGTGAGGCGCTGGGTGCGCACATGCCACAAGAGGGTGCCCGGGCGGTAGCTGGAGATGATATCTGCAATTGGAGCCCGCGCCAGGAGACCTAGGGCGCGAGGGACAGCGAGTGTGGCCACGCAGCGAGTCTCATAGGCTGAGAAAAATGGGAGGAAGGTGCACGGGTAGTCACGTACCTAAGAAAAAATAGCCTCCAGGGGCCCCAAGCACCAGCTCTCCATCCTGAAAAGGAAGCCCTGGAGGTGAGAGAGGGGTCCTTTTTGGGAGCCGCCCCCAAGCCACTTAGGCTCGCTACTTGCCTGAGTGACCGCGGAGCTGAAGCCCGCTTCGCAGTAACGCTTGTCATCCGCTAGAGGAGGCAAAGAAGGTTAGCGAAGGGGCGAGTCAAGAAGCACGCACTGAGTCTGGGGCAGGCGGGGGCGGAGTGATGTGAGGGCGGGGCTATGGGGTATTAGAGGGGTGTGGCTTTGAACAGCCAAGGGGCGCGGGGAGGCCAGGAGCTAGGTCGTTGGGTGGCGGGATTGAAAGCAGGGCCTGGGGGCGCTGGGAGAAAGATCAGGTTAAGGGCGGAGCTAAGAGGCCGCGAGTGGGCGGAGCTAAAATGGAGAGCGGCGCTCACAAAATCCATTTTCCGTGTAAACCCGACTCATGGTGTTGGCCCGACAGGGCGAGAACTCAGCGCGGCGGCTATTCTGGAGCTGAGCCACGAAGCAGCTACCTACGGGCGTCTTCTCAGCCTCCGCGGTCATTTCTAGGACGTTCCAGTGCTGCCAGGGGGCGCAGGCCTGGGGTAGGGCCACAGGAGAGTGGGGAAGGGGCGGGACTTGGGATCCACCCCTCCAAACGTGTCCCTGCCCCCGACTGCTCCCTGTGCCCTATCCCGCAGAGCCCACCACAATGTTGTCTCTCCAGCTGACGACCGACGCCCCCAGTCCTTGATGGGCCTTGAAAGTTTGGAAAGTTTGGGAGCCTACTTTTCGCGTCTCATCATCTGGAGGGCACAAGAAGGGGTGGGGCGCTGAAGCCCGGCCATCCACGCTCCTTCTAATCCCTCCCTTTTCCTCCTTGCGTGGGACTCACTGAGGTCGAATGTCAGTGGAGTGCACTGGCCGCCCTCTGCCCTCCAGGGGCACAGGAACACGCCGCCCGTTTCCTCCCGACTGCGGCCCAGGGTCCGCGGAGCGCCCACCACGATGGTCACGCTGCATAGGAAAACTGCGTGAGCGCGGCGCGGATTCTGGGGTACCCCATGCCCCAGTGCCCGGGCTGGGAGCACTCGGAAGGGCGGTGTGCCTTAGGGGGCACTGGAGCATCTTTCCTCAAAGAGAACTCACAGATCACCGAAGCCACCAACCTTTTCATTTTATGGCCCATGAAACGGACTCTCACCGAGGGTAAATCACATACCCAAAGTAACCGAGCGAGTTAAGCGGAAAGCTGGGACTATAAACCTTTGGTTTGATTTGAATACCTTGGTATTTGATATCCTTGCTGAAAAAGACCTGTTAAGCCCTGTACCCCATCTACACGCCCCATTCCCCTCTCTCCCCCCTTCCCGCAAAGAGCCAGGGGTTTACATGCTCCCTAGAACGTTAAGGCTGCTACCAAATGCCTTCTTGAGAGCTAGTTTTAATGAAGAATTAGGGAAGCTAGTGGGCACCTCTAAAGTGGGGAGTGGGGTGCTGATATCGCTGAGGAAGGACCCTAGTAGATCTAAGTTTAAATCACAACTCCGCCATATGTAAATTGACAATATCAACCACACAATGCTGTCAGGATAAGTAAATGAAATAAATGTATGAAGGACATTCAGCATGGTGCCAGCCAAATAACTCATAACAAATGCTCACAAAAATAAAAAATAAAAATAAGGTACCAATTTTTGTTTTCCCTTCGTTCTTGCTTTACTTTCAGTGCCCATCGCCCCACTGGTGCCCCCCCCCCAACACCCTTACCTGAACCAGTTCCTCCCCAGTATTCCTAACAAAAACTCAGACCAAATAGACCCTAGAAGTCACTTTGCTCAACCTCTATCACAAATGGAGAACTTGAGGCCCACAGATGCAGTGATCCTTGGGGAATCCTTTTTTTGTCTCCCAACACCCAGACTTCCCCCCAGGGCTCACCTCCCACGGTTGTCCTTGTAGAAGTCCAGTGAATACCCAAAGTGGCTGCCATTGGAGCCCGTGTAGAAGGTGAGCTGCACTGGGTCCAGGTTCAAGGCCCAGGCTGGAGGGGCAGCACCGGGTCCCAAGAGCAGCTGCACCCACTCCAGAAGCCAGAGGGCATGAAGCGGACACAAAGCTCTGGCCATCTTCCTTCTCCCACAGCCTCCTAAGCAGGAATGTGCAAACTCCTTCCTCTTCCTTTCAGTTTCCACCACAGGAAGTCTTTTCTTATCAAACTGGAACCCACTTGCTGAGCAGTAGGCAGAGCAAAGGGCTACATAGGCCCTGGCCCCACATGGTTTCTAGGATTGCCAGGAAGGCTGAAAGTATTGACTCCTCCCTTTTCCTGAGAGTAGTTTATTACCAAGTCCTGTTGGTTCTGCCTCTCAACTATGTCTTTTGAATCTTTACTCCATTCCCACTACTATCATGCTAGTCTAAGCCACCAGTGTTCCACTTGGGATAGTGCAACCATGAACTAACTGGTTCATACACCTCCACTCCAGCCCACAGTTCTACAGCTCCTTCTCCGCACACACAGCTGCCTGCACTACTGTGGCACATTGTCACTTCGTCAGAGCAGGAAGGTGTAAGGAAGCTGCTGCCCCCCTGATAAGACCTGGGCTGCTGTATCCTTTTAGATAAGGCACCAATCCGCTTCCTCCTTTCAGGGCCCTGGGCAGCTCCAGTTGGTCATATCTGTGCAGCAGCATCCTCAGTCTTCCTCCATTTAGGGCCAAGTCCTAATGTGGTCACAGCAGTGCAGCCAGGGCTGGGGAAGGGATGGTCAATGGACTTTGGTCAGAGGGGAAAGGAGGTGGGGATAAAGTGGAGTCAGTCCAGGGTATTCTGGCTCACAGGCTTTGCAATTACGCACCACCAGCTGTTCAGTTGAAGGCAGGCCCTCACTCTTTCTTGGGTGACAAAGCTATTGTAGAATCAGTTAAGGCTTGATTCTAGTGGGGTCATTGCTAAGGGGAAGCCTCCCCCAATTCTTCAGGCTGGCACCCTGGGGTTAACACACTGTTTAGTCATGGTCTGTTCACGGGATTGCTTCCATAAATCCCTGGAAAGCAAGGTTCCTTTCTACAGCCCCAGCACCTAGCCAGGAGCCCAACATGTAGTAGGTATTGCTGAAGGGCAGACTGAATGGAAGCGTGCACTGAGGATGGAAGATGAAAACACAGGGTCCCATAGTAGAAAAAGGAATAGTTTTGATCAGAAAGGCAAGGTCATTATCTACGGATAAGAGGAAGAGGGGTGTCAAGTCTTATTGATACTGCATGTCTTTCCCAAACACCAGGTTCTCAGGCAGGAAATTCGAGATCTGCTCAGGGTACGGAACATAGCCACATCCTCCTTTGCTATTTTCTGATGAAGCTTAACCACCATCTTATCCTGCCCAAACCCTGTGCCATCCTGGAATCCCTTCAGCTCCTCCCGTCCCCTAATTCACCACCTCAGCACACAGCTCAAAATCCTACCCCTTACTAGGTTAGAAGCTTTAAACTTTAGTCCAGACCTTCTTCATTCAAGGTAGGCATGTAATGCATCTATTAGAATGAATACTTGGCTCACTCTTATACTTACCTCCCACCTTCCCACTGTCTTCAACTGAATGGTATTGTAATTACTGGTGTATACTGCGTAGCCTAATATTAACTCACATTTCACTAAAGTTTTTTTTTTTTTTAAGATTTTTATTGGGGAATTGGGGGGATGGGAACAGTGCTGGGGAATTGGGGGAAGGGGAACAGACAAGTTGCTGTCGTTTTGTTTTTCAGTCTGGTTGTGAGGACATTGCTTCACTGGCCCAAGTTGGCACCATCATTGCGCTCTTCCCGGGCGAGGCAGATCAGTCGCCGGCTTCTGGACGGCCGCTCACTGCGGCTGCTGGCCGCTCACGCTGGCTGCTGGCTACACACGGTAGCCCATGGCAACCCACTGCAGCAGGGGTTGCAGCCTACCCCGTAGCCAGCGACTCATGGCAGCCCAGCTCCAGGTTGAGCTGTTGTTCAGCATCTTAGCTGTAGAGGGCAGTGTCACTGGCCCTCATATGTGGGATCCGAACTGGGGCCCTCTGGCGTCCCAAGCCAGTTCTTAACCATCGCGCCACTTGGCCGGCCCTCACTAAAGTTTTTAATAAGTACTTATTCTGTTCAAGGCACTGAGGGATAAGGGATACAAAGATCCCTAGTCAAGGATCCTTAAAGAACTTAGTCCAGAGGGAGTTAAGACATGAACACACATAACTGCAGCAGAGGGCTAGAAAAGCATGCCTTGAAAAGGGTGGAGGTTACGTCTAGCTGAAATTATTTATATCATTTGCTCCTTATAACAACCCCATGAAATTATGCTCATTTTATAAACACCAAAACTGTGGCACCGAGTTTTAGGTAAAATGCCCAAGTTTACACAGCCAATGGGTGGCAACTAGGATTCAAACATGTTTGTGCTTGAATTCATGTTCTTAACCATTACACTATGTTGCCATTTGTCAAGGAATGAAGGGGTTTTTAGGCACAGGAAATAACATTAGCAAAGAGTGAACAGAACATAGAAGTCAATTACAGGGAAGCACAAGTAATGGACTCAGCATAGGGTGTATAAAGGGGAGGACTGAGGCATGAGGGTGGAATGGAAGGCTGTGGTCAAATAACTAGAGGTCCCCGGATGCCTTGTAAAATAATTCGAACTTTAATCTGTAGGAGATGGAGACTCAAAAAGATTTTTTTTAAAAGGTTTTATTGGGGGTTTGGGGGAGGGGACCAGCCAAGTTGTTGTTCTTCAATCTTCATTGTGGAGGGCGCCAGTTGCCATCTGGCTTCCCGTTGGCAGCTCGTGGCCTCTTAAGTTCAAGGTGCTGTGTTCAATCTTAGCTGCAGGTGGGCATAGCCACCATCCCATGTGGGAGTTGAACCAGCAGCCTTGTTGTTAAGAGCACACCCTCTATCCAGAGTCATCCAGGTGGCAGCTCAGCTCAAAGTGCCGAGTTCAGTCCTAGTTGTGGGTGGGCATATCCCACCATTGAACAAGGCAATCTTGTTGTTACACCAGCTGAGCCATCCTGCCACCTGTTGGCAGCTCAGCTCAGGCGCAGCATCACTGGCCCATGTGAGAATCGAACTGGCGGCTCTGTTACTCAGAACTCGCGCTCTTAAGCTAACTTTTAACCAACTGAGCCACTCGGCTGGCCCAAAAATATTTTTTTTAAGTCGGAGAATAAGAGATTCATTGATTAATTGTGCTCCAATTTGGACAATTACACTGGCTCCCTGTGGATAGTAGGACTGGAAAAGGTAGGTCTTAGATCATACCTGCAATCCTCTTGGTTAAAGGTGATGAGGCCTGACCTGGGGGACGGATGGCAGGAACAAGAGACAGCAGATTACACAATCAGTAACTGGATGAGGTGGGGAGATGTCAAAAGTAATTCGGAGCTTTGGTGCCTGACTGGCTGGTAGGACAGTGGTACCAGTAACTAAAATTGGAAACAGGTGGAGGATCAGATTTGGGGAGTTTGGTATTCAGTTAAGGATTCTGTTCCTCTGAGGTCAAAACTGGGTTGATCTCCCTTCTGAGAAAGCAGAGGAGTACTGACACATTGCTCCCACTTTCCCATCCCACCAGCGTGGCCTGAGCGCTTGAATCCCTCAAAGAATTCAAAGTTCTGCTAAAGCTTCATTAAGTCAACTATTGAACTTCTGCTATGTGCCTGGCACTGAGCTAGGTGATGTGGATATAGAGAAAAAAATCTTTCATTATCTTTGGTGTTTCCTTTCTAAATCCTGATGCATAATCCTCAGTCAATGGTATTTTACTTTGCTCATATCTTTCTTGAACATAAAATCAAAATGCTTACTATGTGTTCAACTCTATGTAAAAAACACTCTGAGGAGTAAAGAAAAAAAAGGAAGTATAACAATCAGTTCCTGTCCTGTCAGAATTTAAGTATTACCGGGAGGCAGTGAATACAAAATGAACTGCACACAGAATCTGAAAAGCCAGTAAGCTTACATGGGACAAGGAATTAGATCTGAGTCAGAGAGGTCAGCCAGGAAATGCTGCAAAAATTCAGGCGTGAGTTGGTAAGGGGGAGGTGAAGGTGTCACTGGCAAACAAGAATGGAAATGGTTGACAAGGCCTGGATTAGTCATCAAGGGCATAGAAGAGGGAATATGTCCATGTTGCAAGCCCAGGTGGCCGAGGCAGGTAGAATGGAGTCAGGCAGCTGCACATATGAATGCCTTCACATAAGCATACTCTACAGGCTGATCTGCTCCTTTCACCGACAACTTGCCTGCTCAGAAAATTACCTTTCATTTTTTAACATCCTTTCTTTCTGGGCAGGGATTTTGCTATTTTAGGAAAACTGGCAGACTGAGCATCCAACCCAAAGTTCAAGTTGAATAGCTTCTCTTCAGTCAAGGGGAGAACACAGCTGTATGAGAGAGTAGGCATGAAATAGACATTGTAGGGCCGGCCGAGTGGCTCAGTTGGTTGAGCGCGAGCTCTAAGCAACAGGGTCACCGGTTGGATTCCCACATGGGCCAGTGAGCTGCGCCCGAGCTGAGCTGAGCTGCCGCTGAGCTGGTGAGAGAACATGCTCTTAGCAGCAAGGTTGCCAGTCCGACACCCGTATGGGATGGTGGACTATGCCACCCCCCAACTAGATTGAAAGCGGCGACTGGACTTAGAGCTGATGGGTCCTGGAAAAACACATTGTTCCCTTTCCCCAATTCCCCAGCACTGTTCCCCTCTCCAATAAAATCTTAAAAAACAAAAAAACAAACATTGTATTACTCCTTCCTGAAAGGCTGAGAAAGAAAACTAATTTACCACTACAAATCTATGGTTAGCTTTTGATGCTAAACTTTCCCTTTTGTGATTTTTTTGGATATAGTAGATAGAGGCTTTTATCAGTTCAGTGACAATTGGGTTGTATTTCCTTGTAGCAGCAGTGTTGAAGGGTTGAGAAGATGAATTCAAGAATGGTTCTGGTATACAGAGCTTCATGTGGAGGGCAAAGGTCAAGCAGATGACTCGTGTAATCCCATTGCCCTGAAGTACATCTAAAATCCTAAAAATCAAAGCCAGAAATCCCAAACCTATTTCGTGAGCACCTACATTCCATACACAGATTACATATCTAAAATGAGGGAAAAGGTAGAAATAGAAGCAAACTCTTGTGGGAGAGTGGAAAGGAGCTGCACATTCCAAAACAGCTCCCTGTGACTGAGAAGCTTCGCTGTTTCTTCCTATCACAGCACATCCTTT